GCAGCTCAGCCCAGCCCTGTACCCTCACCCATCTACACAGGCTGGCAAAAACACTTTGGGATAGGATAGGACAGGATATTTTCAGTTGGAAGGGACCTACAACAATCACCTAGTCCAGCTGTCTGACCACTTCAATTCCACGAGCGAGGCAGGGTTCCCAGCAGAAGGAAAGTACAAGCAGAAGTGCCTTCCTGCGCCGCAGGAGCTGCTTGAGTTCCTATTGGGAAATTGCAGAGTAAAGGTGGCACAGACAGGGGGTCCAGATCCGCCTCCGAATACAAGAGCCACAAATAGTTTCTTTTCCTCTGGCTGACAATACATTAGCAAACCTATTTTTGTTGTTCATAGATGTTCACAGAAGGCTTAAAGATAGTCTGTTATTGTCAACAGAAAATGCAATTCAATTCCCTAAAAATATCAGGAACATGGGGTATGAAGAGTTTGCTTTTCGCCGGTAATGCACTTTTTCATTATTGCCCTGGATTAAAATTAAATTGCTAACATGAGGGCAAGCAGATGAACCCATGGTTATGATAGCATAGAAAAATGTCGAATACAACGCTTGTACACTGTATGCTCCTTCAGTATTTAAAGATTCTTATCTCTAGAATAATATAAACTGAAACACATTGTGAGGATCCTGCACTATTAAATGAAGCAACACTGCATGTATTGCTTCACTTCTGGGTCCTGTTGTCAGACAGGCAGTATATAACACTTTGAAAGGAAGTTTCGGAACTGCTTTCTGGGTTTGCCTGCACAGGGAGCCATCGCAGTCATTGTTCAAGAAGAGAATAGGACTGTGTTCTTGTGCCTGCAAACCCAATGGTAACGTTGGCAAAATACTGATAAAAATGCTAAAATTTTGTCCCAACCCTAATCAAAACAAGCCCATACCAAACCCTGACTCACAGCATCTTTGTAGTAGGGGCAATGTGCTGTCAATTTTTGTTGACAGAAAAAATAGCTACTCAAGTTCCGAAACATTTAGTAATATAATAATGACATAAGGGATCAAAGGAATGGTAAAATTTCCAATTCTATATAAGAACATAAGGTAATTGAGAAATAAATTGCTGTTTCAGAAAAGAACACATCCATGCATTCTTCCAAGATGCTTTATAAAGGCGACCTTTGCTCTGAAAATACCTTTTTTCTTCCCAGGGTGGCAGCAGGCTGAGGTGGAGGTAGCAGCCAAACTCCACTGGATTGAACTGAATCTCATTGCCCCACACATGCACCCAGCCCAAGAGCTGGTGCTGACAGCTCTGGCTCTGTTCCGGAGTCAGTATTCTCCTTGGTTTTCCTTCTTAGCTGGTGAAGAGTAATTTAATTTGCAAAATACATGTTTTCGCACTTGTTTGAAAGTAATTTCATCACTAAGCCCTACATAAATAGATGGGAACAGTGATTGACAGAAGAAGGTTACCAAGAACAACCACTTTGAACCAATTAATTGGGAAACGCTTTTGATGGAAATGACATACACACTGATAATTTCATTTTTTCTTAGCAACCATTTTCCCTGGGATTATTCCCAGGATTCTGTACAGATGCACTTTCCCCATGAGACCACTGGCCGGTACAGACACTTGGTAGTCCCCGAGAGAGAACTACCACGAGAGCAGGATTAAAGCATGTGAAGCTGCACAAAATCAGGCTCTCAAGTCTCTGAACTCCGTGCAAACCCCATATTGCACACCCCACAAACGGCCCTGCCAGCCCTTAGGCTCTCTCAGGAGATCAGAAAGGAAACCACGGCTTTGTTCTAGGAAAGTCATAAAGGTCTTCAGAAGTCACATTACCAAAGAGCTCTGCAGGCACGGGCCAGAGTGCAGCATTTTGTTATGTAGTCTCACCTTGTTGGAAACACGCTGATGGCTTCTAAGGAAAAAGAATAGGGATTGGGTTTATTTCCATAAACTCAATTCTTTTTTTCTTTACTTGCTGGCCAACTGTTGAGGCTCATGCTTCTAAGCATCGCCACTTGGAAAATATTCATCTAAAATAATACAGAGAAAAAATATCACCGGTTGTCGTTGGAGTCTCAGGGGACCACAAAATGAAAAAATATTTCTGGACAATTTCTGCTCTTCCTGTAATGAAAAAAGTAAATGGAAGTATTAAAGTGACACCTCCATCAATTTAGAATTAAGGAATCGACTTTTCCTGTCTCGAGTCAGAACACTGCAAATGTCTGCCATAGGAAAAGCAGCTAATTCATTCCTTAATGCAGCCTTATAATGTATAAGAAACACTATATTATACAAACTAATATACCTACTGAATTATACTCTGCATGATTCTTGTCTCACTCTTCACTTCCATGCTTTCACTAATTGAGCTTCTGTTCTTCGTTATTTGTACAACAGTGTCTCAGGGGATCCTCTTGTTCTCTTTATAAAAATGTAACTTAAGTGCTGCCATAAAATAACCACGTCTTTGTATTAACTTGTATTAATGGGTGCACTTTAACTGCATAGCTGGATCATTTAACTGCACTGGAGAGGACACACAGAATATATATAAAGCTTGCATAGTGTTTACATAGTCTTCCCACACATTTTGCCAAAACTGTGTTGCTCTGAGACCTGTGACATGCTAAACAAAAACAAATTTGAGCACCAACAAGGGCAAGCCTCCAGAACAGAAACACATAGTATGGAAATACAAGTGTTATTTACCATAAATCATATGGCTGAGATCTTTAAAAGGAGCTCCTTTCCTATAGGATCTTGATGTTACTGAAAGGAGTCACCCTTCAGGATGCGATACTCCCCGCAGGAGAGATGAACATTAATGCTCCACAATTATGCTTCATGAGTCCTCACCATATGCCACATGCAAAACACATGTAGTTTAGGAATCAAGACTCTATCCTGCAAGCAGCAGGCGAAAACTCAGCCATATTCATGCAAGTCCTGACAAGTAAGGGAAACTGTAAAATTAATTATGTGAGTTGGAATTTATGGGCTCAGGTATTTACATAATGATTACAATTAACAACGTGTTTATCTCCATTTTTATCCTTCATCTATGTGCTTGACATTTATATCAGTCGTACAAATTACACATTTAAAAAAGGAAAAGGTAATTCAGGTCAGCCAGGAACAGTTCTCTTTGGGATCAAATTGGAACACGAGCTGCACAGAATGGAAACTGTCCTCCATGTGTGTCTGCCATAAACCCCACTGATGCATTTAGGCTTCAGCACAGGAAACATTAGACCTCTGAGCACCCGGGGGTCTGGCCCTCAGCCCCCACTCAGCCCAGTGGGAAACACAGAGGAGGCAGCAGACCCGTATTCCCACCATGTGAAGAGGCTGACAACTGAGAACAGGCCCATGCTGCACAACAAAGGTGACACTGGGTGGCAAAGGGCTCCCAGGCAGACAAATTTACCCACTCAAAATGAAACCTGCTCCTTTGACTGCAATACACCTGGTGCAGTCCCCAGTGCTCTGTGCTATGGACAGTTCTGGGACATTTTATGGGCAGAAGTGACCCTCCAACCATGCTCTGCACCAGCTGGGTGCTGCAGAGAGGCACACCGTGTCTGCTCCTGCGGAGCACGGGGTCAAGCAGCTCCTCTCCAGCTGAGACTAAAGCCCTGCAGGGCTGGAAGACAAAACCCTATGAAGATGAAGTCTGGGGGACACAAAATCCCATAGGAAAGCATCTGTTTCCAAAAATACCCTCAGAGGGCTGCTCGGTCCCAAGTGCCACCAAAAGCCACATGGTATGTGCCACCTTCTTTCCAGTTCCCCCTGCACCCACCCTAATCTGATGCATTACTTGGAAATGAAGGCAGAGAGATGCAATCACAGTGACAGCCTACAGGGTTTTGCTGTGCAAAGTACACTCTGTTTACAGCTGCTGCCACTGAATTTTAAATTCATAATCAAAGACACAGCCTCTTCTGAAGAAAATAGCAAGAAAATACCTTTACACTAACTTTCTGCCCCTCTGTGGCAGATCTGCAAGGAATTCATCACAGTTTTCTGTTAGGACTGTCGTGAGCGGGTTGTGCCGGTGCATATGGGTCACAGAAGTACTTTGTGCCATATCAGAGCTGGCTGTGGGCATTCCCACCCGCTTGGACATCCTTTCTGGGACACATTTCTATGGGGCATTCCTTGGGGCACTCACCTTTACATTGCAAATGAGTGTTTCCTTTCAAAGATCAGTTCTTTACAGATTTTGGCACCTCACCTATATGTAGCGCTTTCAGTCAAGCTATATTAACATTACTGTAAGAAAAGGTGTATATATGTATATATTATACAGGTATATGCGTATTTATTATATATATACATATACATGACCACTGTATTGTTTTTTCTCAAGTCTGTCAGATCACTACATTATAACAGAGAGGCTATTACAGACAGGTTTAGTTAGCTGTGCATCATTTCACACCTTCATTACAATCTTTACCGGGAAAATGGATTGCTTTTGAGCCTCTCTCCATTCTCATTAAACTTCCACTCTTGCGAGGTGTCAGAATTGTAAAATGCCTAATATGGCCAGTTAATTATAACACCGCTCACTGCTTTAGCCTTTTCAATTACCCACATTTCCACTGGCTGAAGCAGCCAAGCTCCCACCTAGGGTTAGTCAGACCCAAACTAACAAGGTAGACCGAGGGGAGGCCAGCAAACAGAGGACAACACGCTCTGCTGGCCAACGCAGGACCTGGAAAACCATCAGAAAGCTTTCCACCAGCAGGAGATGGCATTTCTCAGAAGGCAGAACGGGAAGTCTGTGTTCATGCAAGGAAGAAAGACGGAGGTGCAGTGTGGTTTTTCAGCTTCCTTTGCTAATACTGATAACTAGAAGTCCAACATTATAAACATTATTAAGGAAGCTGTCCTTGGAGTTGCTCAGGGTAATAGTAGTATTTGTCAGAACAAGAATTGGCAGAAATTAGCCTGAAATCACATAAACAACTTTGATTTTAGTCTCTGCAGGATACAAGCTGCCAGATAGCTAGGAGTTACCTCTCTCCTTGAGCTCTGTCACATTTGTCCACATTTTGCGAGATGTGCAAAAACACCAGCTGATGGCAGCTCCCAGACACTGAAAGTCTCCTCTTAGTCCAACGGAGCCAATTCCACTCTCTTCTGCAGATGGGAGGAGAGTGAGGGTTAGACAGAGTCTCTGACACTTACGCAAAGTAAACTGCTCCCGTGTCCCTTGAGTTTCTGGTGATAACAGTGTTTTGAGGCTGACATGAAGTTTTCTGAAGTGTCTTAGCAGTTCAGATACCTTGGTGATCTGGAAGCTTGACGTTTCTTCAACCATTGCTTCCCCGACAGAGCCACCCTACCAGCTCCCACCTGAACTGACACCAGCCTGCTCAAAGAAATCTTGATTTGAAGTTTCTCCCAACAGCAGGGCCATAGGACACAAAGCAAGATTTTTCTGAGGATAAATTATCCCTCTATGTTGCAGGCACAGCAGATGCCCACACAAAAGACACTACTCTTTTTAGCTCTTTTCTCTTATCACAAAACCAAAGCAACTAAGGATTGCCCAAGTCACACCTTGCTGTAGAAATGAATATTTCATTTTTAACAGAGAATAGCTTTCAACGTATTTATGAAGAAAGCATCCTTGCTGGAAAGGAACACCATGTTCTGGCAGAGACATCCCAAACACAACTGAGAAAGCCATCTCCCTGATGAGGGATCAGAAGATCAAAGTTGTGTTTTATTAGTTGTATAAAAAGTATCTTTAGCTCTCAGTTGAAAGGAAAATTTGCATTTAAATAGAAAGATTAATAACTGTAATACACAGAGCCCACACTGAATAATTTTTTGTAACAGAAAATAATTCATATTGTTTTATATAAATTGTGCACCTTAAGTCAAGCTACAAAAAATGATAATCGTAATATTTTATGGAACAATTTTAATATAATACAGCTTTGTTACATTACTATTCTCCATTGTAAATAATGCATGTCTGGAGCTTTGGGAAAGCCTGGATTTAAAATACTTATCTCTGAAAATTCAATAGGGCGTATGCTTTTTGGCATGTTTACACTATGCATGAGTTTTACTTATTAAAATAAAATACATTTTAAAAAAATATCTGTCAGAAGGACAGGAACAAACCATCCCTCCTACTGCAAGGACAGACTAGGAGGTGGTGCCTGTGAAGAGCTTATTGAAGTTTTTTGGAAATAAAGCTTTTTCTCTAGAAGACACAGATTTGGATTCACTTAAGTATTTTGAAATGCTATTGAATTGTTGAATTGTTTCAGTCAGGTTAAAAAGCTGATCTTTAAAAAAAATTCCATTTTGACATTCTTTTAGCACTGAAGGGCAGCATTTGATTTTATTTTGAAGTCATTTTTCACTTACAACTACATTTTTTAAACACTGACTCCTGACCACAGGAAAACAGCCTCCCTTTCCCATTTCATTCTAACCAAGGCTTTAAAAAAATAAAATAATAAAATATTGATGTTTCAGAAAAAAACTTATAAAAAAAATCCCTTAGGATCAACCTGAAGCATTTCTGGTTCTGTCTGTGTGTGATTTGCTTTAGTGCATTAGCTATTTGCCCTGCACTGAGGAGCTCAGCCAGGAGCAGAGGGTTCTATCTCCAGATTACACCCCCAGGTGGTCTCCTGTAGCTGTCCCAGCAGGGCTGCGGTATCTCGGGGGTCTGAAAGTTGCTATTTCTTTCTGCTCCATCCTTCTGGGCTGCCAGTCTCCTCCCTGCTACCCACCCCACCTTGTCTCCAGCCCACCATGAGGAAGATGTCAGATGGATGCCTGAGCTGTTGCAGTTAGGCAGAGAAGCTGCATTTTCCACCCTGAGTACTGGGAAAGAGGCCAGTGCAGCCCAGGGGTTGCAGCAACTGCTTTAAGCAGCTCTACTGTTGCTTTTTGACTGCTGGAAGAAGGCAATTCCTTTGCTTTCCTCTCCTGGACTAATACCAGCAAAGCCCTACCACACGGAGCACATTTATTTTGCCTTTGCTCGGGGGGTACCTTCTACATCCCATGGCCAGTTCACCAATGCTGGGCACTGTCACTGATGTGCAGGTACCGAAATTGGCCGCCTGCCTCCTCGCCTGCTGAGGGAAGCCGGCTGCTGCTGAAAGCCCTGCAAGCCCCTGTTTGCAATAGGAATGGACCGGTTTCTTCACTGGCCTCACTGTGAGACACAGAATCTATTTCTTGCTGCAGCACGAGCACAGAGCGAGGAACTCGCAGCGCTTAATTTATCACTTCTTCGTATATCCCAGCCCTTACCCAGAAAAACCTTTTAATTAGAGAAGGATCTGGAGGGAGTTGCCTGGCATTCCCCCAGTGCCACGCGGATAATAGAAGAAAGCAAAACCCCTTACTCTGCTCGGAGCCACTGGCACCACTAATTACCCTCCCAAAATTCAGCTCAGGTTCCTCTCGCTGCTCATTTAATCTCCGTCACTCTTGCTGCCTTCCATTTCATCGCGCAAGCACCGAGCAACAGGCACAGACACAATCAGGGAAGTTTGGAAGAGCTGCTGCTGGCGTACAGCAGAGATCCCAGCACTCCTTGAAACGAGGGCTCAACAGCAGACAATCAAGAAAAGATGCGCAGATGCTCGAAAACACGGCATGTGTCCATTAGGGAGCACAGCTCTCTCTTTAGGCTCTAATGCTTCTGGACTCCAGGCTTCGCTGTCACTGTGATATGTGCTACTTGCCAGCGACAGCACTGGGCTGTTAGGTCGGATGCTGGTGCAGGGATTGAGATGTCCCTCCTCACCCTCACCTCCAGTGCCACTGTGTGCCCAGAGCCCATAGCCTGGGTGCCACCAGTGGAGACCCACTGGTAAGGCTGGGAGCCCCCCTCCATCACTATAATTCCAGAGCCAACACAAACTAAAGGTGTGCGGGAAACCACCTAACTTGTGAAATGCTGTACAGACACCGACACATCAAAAACATAAATGAAAAGTCCCTTTTAACAGTCAAAGCGAAGAGGCAAAGCCCTTGACAACAAGTAGAGGAGAGCACACGGGAGCTAATGAGGATGAGCTCCAACATTAGCAGCAGCCCACCTGGACAGCAGGTGAGATTTGGGTGACTGAAAACCTGACCTGCTGGTGCTGGCTGGGGTCCTCCTCACCCATCTGCTCCCTTGGGTTTGGGAGCTTTGTCACCCAAGGGGACACAAAAGGATGGCAGGAGCGCAGGAGCAGCCCTTCCCTAGTGAGGGAGCTGGGTTTGAATTTGGTTAAGTAGGTGATTTGCCCCGGGAGATTTGTGCCAGGGTGACAAGGGGGATGGCAGCAGATGGCAGCGGCATGGAGGGCCGTCAGGCAGGCATACAGCAGCTGGCCTGATGTGCAGACACAAGCTGGAATTACAGCTTTCAATGCCTGCCTCAGGACCTAACGGCACAAGTTAGTACAAGCCAAAGCATATATCCATTTTTTCCTAATAAAAAAAGAAAAAGAATGAGACAAACCTTTAAAAAAAAAAAAAAAAAAAAAAAAAAAAAAAAAAAAAAAAATTTGCTAACATGTGGAATCTATTAGGATGTTTCGAAGGAATTCGCGTTCATTGTTTCGCTTGAAAAATAAAGGTTATAAAACTTAA